CACACGCACACACACGTTCTTGAGGCAACAACTTGAGCTTACACTGGGTTATCTATAAAGTTGTAGAGACTGTTTCAGAAAAGAACAGAACAACCGACACTTCCCAGACATTAGCATGGGCTCTCAAAAAAATCTCACCTAAGACCACTACCAAGGAAACTGGGTGGCAGGAGAAATCCAGTGCTAGATTTCTAGCAAAACTAGAATTGAGCAGTGAATTGGGTCAATAATTGCACTCCTCAAAGCTAGTGTGATACTGTCTCTTTTAGAAAGTACTAATGAACAGCTATATTTCTGTAAGTTAGTTCCCAGGGTCTACTTTAGATGGTAGAATTCAGATTATTAATGATTATCTAATTTATTTTGAATTCCCTAATTTTTTTTTATTTCACTCTGTATGTAGATAGAGACTTACAATAGAGTCTATGAGAATTTCACCAACAACACAGCAATGGAAATGGAAATGTTTTACTTAAGTATTCCTATAGAAACTTTAAAACTATTAGGTTGTAGCGGTAGATGTAAGATTCACCTGGTGGATTTGTTGAAAACCCAGATTGCCAAGCCCCATCCTGAGTTTCTGATTCCTTAGGTCTGGAGTGGGTCCAAGAATTTGTATTTCTAACCAGCTCCTAACAATCTTTTGAGTACTGGCCTCCTGCTACCCACCCTCCATGTGAAATTTAGATGGCATTGTGAGGAACCTTATTTAAGCCATAATAAATAACAGGAAAAAAATGTCTTCAACTGTAAAATTGTAGAAAAGAAAGATAATTCTTTACATGAGCATTCTGTTATTCCCTTTCAATAAACAATCAAGGCATATCATTAAAGTAACTCAGAGAAAGTATTTTTCTCCCTGAAACTAAACACACATGGTTCAGATACTTTGTTTTCTAACACATTCCTAAGACCTGACACTATGCCAGTAACAAGTGTAGAAGTGTAGTAAGTGTAGAAGTGATGGAAATATTTAGAATCTCAAGTAAAGGATGCTTCTTTTTCTCTGCCCTTGCTACCATTATGTATAAATTATGGTCTCTAAAATTGTCACAAATGAGAGAGAAATGGGTGTGTAAAATCATATTTTAGGACAGAAAGGAGAAACATTAAACTATAGGGAGAAAATAAGGCTGGCAAGAAAAACCTAAGAACTGAGATATCTGTGAAAATTATGCACTGTAACTGAGGCTTGTTAACTTAGCATATGCAATATTATAGCAATTAGTCTGTAACTAGACTCTTGAATATAATGAATAAACGATCAGTCAGCTTATGCATTGTTAAAAAACAGATCTTAGAATGTATCTCGAATTTTTGAAGGGCCATAGTATATAAAATAAACATAGTAAAAACACCTGTTAAATGAGATTTTATATGGCTTCATATGTCATGGTGATTTTTATTATGTGAATTTTTTAAATGCCATAGAAAAAGAAAATTCTTTGAAAGAAAGTATGGAAACATATACAGAATTAAATTAACCTCAAGTCATTAAATACCTATGTAAATGAAACTTTAGATTTCAACCAGAAAATTACAAATTTCTAGTCAGGAGCTTGTATAAGCTGAATTTTTTACTCCTTTAAAAATGTGGAGAGGGCCAGCTGAGTGGCACATTGGTTACGAGTTTGCTTGGGATGCCAGCTCTGAGCAGCAGGGCCCCAGTTCGGATCCCACATGGGCCAGTGATTCTGCACCCTCTACAGCTAAGATGGTGAACAACAGCTCGACCTGGAGCTGGGCTGCCGTGAGTCGCCGGCAACGGCGTAGGCTGCAGTGGGACTGGTCCACAGCTGGTGTGCGCTTTCGTGAGTGGCTGTCCAATGGCCGGCAAGCAATTGCCTCACCTGGGAAGAGCGCAATGATAATACCAACATGGGCCAATGAAGCGACGTCCTCTACAACTAGACTGAAGAACAAAAAGGACAGCAACTTGTCTAGTCCCCTTCTCCGATTCCCCAACACTTTCCCTCCCCCAATTCCCCAGTAAAATTTTAAATAAATAAATAAATAAATATAAAAAATGTGGAGAACTCAAGTGAATGTATTTTATTTTAAATGGAACAAAGCTAACATTTAAAATGATGAAACACTGTTGTTGTTTTCATGTGTATTACACACTTTTATTGAGCCTAATAAATTACAGAATGCAAGGAGATAGAAGATGAAAAAGTATTGTCATTATTTTGCCATGATGATTTGTTTTTGATTTTTATTTTTTATTGTGACAATGTTACTTGTGTAATATAAAAGAACAAGTTTCCCACACTTAATGATAATCCTCAAAAATATTTGAAAAGGAAAGGGAAACATTTTAAGGAAAGTACAGAGCCGTGTTTTTGCATGTTTGATGGGGCAGCCACTTGGGGCAAGCTTATACTTTGATTAGCAAGGAGGTTCATGTTGCCTTCCACTCTGTAGGGCCCTAGGATAGTTTAATGTCACGGTTGGCTGCATGCCTTTCTTCTCTTGTCTAGGATTGCAATATAATGCTTTGCTCACTCATCACCCTCCTGTTTCTGCCCTGCCCCCATGTCTCCACAGATCATTTTGTGTTTCTCTCCAGTTGGTCACACGCTGAGAGTTAGAGCTCGGAAGTTCCCAGCCATAGTTAACTGCACGGCTATTGACTGGTTTCATGTGTGGCCACAGGAGGCTCTGGTCTCAGTCAGCAGGAGGTTCATTGAGGAAACTAAGGGAATTGAGGTATGTGCCATATCAGCCTCAGAATCAATCTCTCTCTCTCTCTCTCTTTCTCCTCTCTTTCTCTCTCTCATTCTCACTCTTACCAAAAGTCCTCAATAAGTAATTTCGAAATTATACCCCTCAGAAAATTGTCCTTGTTTGTTGAAGATAAAATCATCTTTGTTCGTTTACATCCTATGGACTGCGATGGCTGACCTCTTTGCACCAGGTTGAGGTGTGCCACACACACACATACACACACACACACACACTCACACACTCACACACTCTCACACTCTCACACTCTCACACTCACAGCCTGTGAGAATGTTCTGACTCATGCACTAACTCACCAGAATACTAGGATCATTACTTCCTTGAACCGTAATAGGGTTTACTGCATACAAACCCTTTAAATCCACAACTAAAAACCCAAACAAAAATGTAGTCACCCACAGCCAAACAATGCTTGATCCCCACAAAGGAAGGCAGTTAGTTGTGATTTTTCTCATTCCAGCACTGACAGGTGAAAAATCAGCCCTCTCAAAATTTGTCAATCACTAAGTCAAATAATGAATCCGTTCTTTGTTTTATGGGTTTATGTTTTATTAGGTTATGTTTGTCATTTCGTCATGATAACATTCACACCTCCTATTACATTTTAAAATGGCTACCCGAAACCAAAGAAAACTTCAAGCATTCAAATTTAACGGGAAAAAAGGAATGTAAATAGGAAAGGATCATTTAGACTTCCTAGAAATAAAGTTTTATCTCTATTTAGTACCTTTCTGATTGCATAGTTTGGAAGGGTGATGATTGAGAACATTTCCCAGGAAGGTTTGACATCTGATCTCACTGAGAGATAAGGGGGAAAAGGTGCCTAGAATACACTGGACATTGAAGCCAAAAATAGGGTAGGAGGTATGTAAGGAATGATGTCTGCTTCCAGCTGAAACTTTATTGTGAACAAGGACAAGCCCCTGTGGCCTCTCTTCCTCCCAAAGGTATAACTGCTGCTTTTCCAGTGCAATTCTTTGACGTTTTGTTGAACCTTTTATCTTTTGGTGGTCTGATGGTTAGAATCTGAATCTATTTACAAATTTAATGTCAATAATTATTTGTATTAAATGTAAATACAAATAGTTATTTGTATGCAGCTAGCTTTATTGCTTATTTCTCATTTTTATACGTTATATATAGCTTTATTGTATACGATTTATTGTCTTTTCCTGAAATGTCTATTAATCTATTTAGTGCTGGATTGCCAGAGAAGAACTGTATATATGGGAAAGACTTTACCACTTTTAAATCCCTCCTCTTTCCTTCTTTTCTTTACACTCACGCTTAAAACATTTCTATAAATAAATGAAAAAAATGATCTCTTCTATTTCACTGTTTTTTCCATATACAGAAAGTTCTGTATCTTGCTTGTCTCCACACTTACCCCTCATGTTTAACACACTTCCTAGACCTTTAAAACAACAACTGGGTTTCTGGGTAAAGAGTGAATAATGTTAATATATGGTTCTATTTTTTTAAGTGATTTTCACTTTTTTCCACTGGTCAGCGGTCAATAGCACTTATACTTAGGAAATGCATGACATTTGTTCTCATGAACAGATGAGTAGGGTGGTGGACACTCCCGGAAGTGATTACTTTCTGCCTGAAACACTGCTTTCATCACTCTGTGTCTTCCTGAAGAGTCAGAGTAAGTCCATTTAATGGGGACGAACACTTGCATTAGATGAGTCTGCCAGCAATATTTTATACTTTAAAATCTGGAAAATCGTTAACTATGATAAATAAAGGTCACAATTATTAACACAAATGTCTTAGGCTATCGCTAAGTTCACTGCATTACTGGAATTAAGTAGGGAATAATTTTGTCTTTTAATACTTACAAGAAGGGTTCAAAATACTGATTCATTAGAAGGAGAGAGTCAGCGTGTATCTTTTAGCAGCAAAATTCTGTTTTATCCCATCCATGTTATCAGGGTAGTTTGGTAAGGAAGAGAAAAGGACTAGTAACTAACTTTTCTTTTCTTTCTTTCTTCCTTTTTTTTTTTTGTTAATTAGTTTCAGGTGTACAAAACAATGTAATAGACTTCACCCCTCACAAAGTAATAACCCCCCTCCCCCAATCTGTTACTTCTCTGACATCATATAGAGCTGTAACAATTCCATTGACACTATTATTCCCTGTGCTGTACTCCACATCCTGTGACTATATATATATGTGTGTGTGTATATATATATATATATATATATATATATATATATATATATATGTATATATATATACATATATATATATATGTATATATGTATATTCGACATTCAATATTATTCAGCTTCAGTTTCAGGTGAACAACACAGTGGTCAGACATCTACACCGTCCATGAAGTGGTCACTTTGTTTCTTCATGTTAATGTCTCGAATGAGAGGAAACCAGAGCTCATAGCCTAGTTTGAGTTAGCGTTTGGCACAGTGCTTTTGTAAGTTGCTTGCCTTTGCTCTGGCATAGGCTTTCTCCTGGGAACGTAGGTGCCACTTTGAAAACAGTACTGAAGGAGCTTTGATATGCCAGTGACCATTGACATCTGCTGGATGAGGCAGGACTTGCATCACTTTCAGTCCAGAGGGCTCCTGGCAGGCGCTAAGCTCCATCTGGTGGTATCATGATGCCTCCTATAGGATGCTGAGTGCCACAAAGGAATTGAAAAAGCACTACCATTTCTGTGGAGCTGAATGATGCCTGGAAACAAATTCACCAGATGATTTCATTTCCGTGCAGGGCGCTTATTTAACTATCCCACCTTCCTGATTTGTTGCCCAGGAGCAATAATTATAATTCAGAGTGCAACGGGTCCATGCTTTTCTAAAAATATGTGGTGCCTTTTCTGTAGAGGTCAAAAACAGCTTTTGCATTTTTTGAATGAGCACGAATTTGATCACTTTCTTAGTTTAAATTTCCATCATTAAGACTGAAAGTTATCGGCATAATTTGGGTGCTTCTTAATTATTGACCTCAGTTGCTGAATATAAGGTACTTACACAAGGTGATCCCCTTCGGCCACAGAGAAAAGGATTCATTAAAGGCAAGCAGTTCTGTGTGTGTTGACATATAATTTTTCAATCAGTACACACACAGCACCCAGGGGTGTGGGCTGACTGTGTCAAAGTAAATGTTTGTGCTACTTTTCTGTTACCTATTATTCAACTAAATGACAGTTGACAGAATGACCAAAATAGTTTGACACTTTGGTACCACTGGGTATTTATTGATTTGAAGACGCTCTGTCAGTACACACTCCCTCTCCCAGGAGATTGGGAAATGCAGATGGGAGGATGTGGTGTAAGGAAGAGAGGAAGGGCTTTGGGGTAGCCTTAGGAATGAGATTACAAATTGTAATTGGGGGGAAACCTTCCTGAGACGTGCATGGGTCCCAGTTGGGAACATTCAAGAAAAAAAGGCAGAAGAAACAGATGTTAGAAGACAAGCCACATTTTAGCTTTTCAAGTCAAAATGAATCATAGACGTACTTGAAAGCAGGGCCTGATTAAGGGAGAAATTACTGAATTAAAATGATAAGATGAGCACTCTGGCTCAGGAGTGAGAGTTGCGTTGGAAGGGGTAGCATAAAGATCTGAGCAAGATGGAGGAACTCAGCCTTTTGAGGTGTGTTGGCCAACTTGCAGGTTAAAATTCTGTGTCCTTTTGATGTGATAGAACTTAGCAGATTTTGTCGTGTATAATGTGCACTTTTTGGCCCAAATTTGTGAGGGGGCAAAATAAAGATGTGCATTATGCATGAGTAGTACTAATTCTGTTTCCCTTAAAGTTTGGGCGAACAACGTGGATGTGCATTATACACGGGAGCGCATTATACACAGCAAAATATGGTAAAAATAATTACACCAGCACAATATCGGCCTTTTCAGCACAGTGACTTCATTCCACATGTCGCCACCTCTGCAATCCAGAACCTGTTGCAGGGTTTGGTAATGTATGAATGGCATATTTTACTACCATTTTCCTAACCAACTGCGAAAAACGTTCATTCAAAGAAGGAAGTTGTTTTGCTACTATATTTAAAGACTGATTTCTTCAGAAGCCTCTGAGTTCATTTTAAAATGTTAGCGAAGAATGGAGAGTAATGAACAACATTTTGTTAATATAAGGACATGTAAAGCCATATTTCCATGAATGATTTTTATCACAGTTTTTTTTAACTATAAATGAGGATACTGCAATATGAATTTACAAAGTAGAAAAATAACCTTGTGCAATAGGAATTCTGTGAAGTTGTGGGGACTGTCTTCTTCCTGAGGAATACTGAAGTCATTTGAAAGGATGAAAACAAAAACAAATGCAACCAAATTTGTCTTGAATCTTCCTGAATCTCACAGCTGGCTTAAGCCCATATTGAAATAGGTGAGGAAAGGCCCTGTGGTTGTTAATCCCCTCTCCATTCTTCACCCTTCTCCTCCTTTACACACATGCACACGAAGGTACTGCCCATCATGCATGCCTTGCTCTGTGCATGTTAATCCAACTTAGAATAAAATTGGGGAAACAGTAGAATGCTGCTTCCCAGAGTTTTTGCTGCTTTGTAAACTTTAGGAATCTCGATAGTAGGGTCCGCTTTTTATAGCTGCCCAGAAACCTGGCCATGCTGTTAGCCAAAAGTTTAGCTAAATCAGAGACATCAGTAGCTCCCAGTTGTAGATTGGTGGCTT